AATTCAACCACAGAGTAAAAGAAGAACTGAAATGAAGAGAGGAGGTATGAAAATTAATTAGCTAGTATTGTAGTTCAGACAGGAAAAAAACAGCTTGAACTCAGGTGATAGCAATGGAAATATAAAAACATTATCAGAGATGAGTATCCTCCTTAGAAACGAAAGCTCCACACTTTACACTGTAATATTTTTTTGTGTAAATAAATTATTGGCTTTTCTTATTATGTTTTCTTGTAAATTACCCTAAACAACTATTCTGCTCCATCATTTACCCTCTATTTTTATTTTTGGCTGAAGAGAAAGATCTGTATTGAATTGACAGAAACTAGACCTTTAATTTTTGCCTAGAAAGTTGATATTTCATGAAAAGTCAAAAATCCATTTAAATTGTTGTCTCTTCCTACAATCAGTTATGTAACTTACCTGGTCCTATAAAATGTAAAATAGCTCGAAGTGCCTCCAGCTGCACTGATAATGATGTCTCATGACTTTTCATAACTGTTATTATTTTGGGGACCACTGCTGCCATTGTATCCACGGAAGTGTTACTGGAGACACAAGATTGACATGCATATTAAAAGAACAATCTGATTCAATGGTACAAACACCAAACTGAAACAAATACAGGAAAACAGAACCAATATATTTTATCAAGAAAAGCTATATGAAAATGCACTTGAATTCAGTGGTATAAGCATATATAATTTTAATTGTTGTTTAATTTAACTTTGACCTCAAAAAGTAGAATTCATAGTCACCTGGGAATTCTCTTATTTAGTATCTTAAAACTCACAATTTCCTTCTGATGTATGTCTGGGTCACTTGCAAGAACCCAGAAAGTAGGTGTCATTATCCCCATTTTCCATACAAAGAACTTAGGTGCATGGAGCTTAAATATCAAGGTCCTAATGCTAGAAAATGACAAAGTCAAGGCTGGTGCCCAAACTCGTCTGACTGCAAGGCAAGGGCTCTTTACGTCATACCAACCTGCCTGTTCCAGAATAACATCACTGAACTTCTTACACGGTATTCTTAATTATTTTTGGTATATATTAAAGTCGTGGTTTCTCTAAGGTATTTAAGGTATTCTTTCTTTCACATATGAACAAATGTCACTTGACTAGATTTCAGTAGACACTATGAACTTTAATACAGGCAGTCCTTGCTTTGTATTGCCATGTTAACTGAAACCTGTGCATATCAGAACCGTGTTCTCACTTTGCATGGTTCCGCAGTTATTGAGATATATTCCCCTTTTGCACTTAAAGTCCCAGTTTAAACACATCCTTTCTTTGGACGCCCCCCTCCTTTGTAAGTCTGGCTGGGTTCACTTTGCTCTGACCGCCGTCTTTCACACACCAGTGCCACTGCACCTCGCACTGGATTGTAATCATCTGTTTAATATCAGTCTCCACAACTAGACAGTGAGTTTTGCAGGGCAGGCATGTTGTCATAACTAACTTAGAATCCCCAGGACTGGAACCGTACACATTTTACATATGAGGAAACAGCCAAAACATTAAATGGCTTGCCCAGAATCTATAGAAACCTAAATTGTAGTTTATTCTACTCTGGCTTTGCCTCATTTGTAAAGGTTCACACACTTCTAGCACCATAAAAATCCACATTTAAGATAATCTTTTCATGTAAATGTTTAAGAGCAGTATTTAAATAAGAGAAATATAACTAACATATGACATACAATAAATACAAACAGATTAAATGGACTAGGTTAAAGACAGTGTAACCCCACTTCTTACAAGTCTATAGATGTGCTACATAATAGTTTATCACACTAATACACTTCATTTATTCACATTTAACAACAGTACAATAACAATAGCTATGATTTACTGAGTGCTTAAAATGTACCAGGCACTATTCTAATTGCATTTTAAAAATTAATTTATTTAATCCTTATATTATAAACTTACAACTTTCGAGGTTGTTATTATTATCCCTTTTTCAGGAATCTGAAGTTTAGAAACCCAAACACTTGGCTCTAATCAGTGGCAAAGCTAGGAATAAAATTAGTATTACTGTAACTTCTGTGCCATTTATTTTTCTCTTTTACTGATGATAGTTTCCTATAAATAATAGCCTCTTTTTGTTTGAAATTTACTCAGACAATGTCCAAGTTATCTCACAATTTCTTACTTAATAAAATGCATATTCTGCTGTAGGCATCTTCTGCATATAATTCAGTTTTAGTCTGTTAAACAAGTTTTTGTAAACCAGTAGTTCTGTCCCCACCTACCCAACCCTCCTTCCCTGCCACCATCCACCCCCAAACAAAAGGCTCTGGTCTCTGCTGTGTCACTAACCAGCTATATAATCCTAACGTGTCTGCACTTGGACTAGATGTGACTAAAAGCTTCCCTAGCTAAAGAATGAGAGCAGTATGAGAAGACTAAGTCAATTCAAATGAAGGAATAATAATAAATAACGTATTAGTTATGAAAGAGTAACAATTAAAAGCCATATCCTGATTTTATCTTTTATACCTTTCGCACTTACACAATTCAAAAAACTGTTGTATGCTATGTATGTGCTATATACTTACCATTTTTCAAAACATAGTCAATACCAAGCACCAAGCACTAAAGCAATCTTTCAATATATTCTTATAATCTCTGCCGTTCCTTTCAACGTTCAGATAAAGTAAGTTCATGATATCAATGATACAAGATTACATTGAAAAATGCTACTTGGTCCAACATGATATACTCTACATAGGTTCATGAAACTATATTACCTTCCTTCAAAAAGATGATTTAGCATTTTACAGCCACTTTCAGCCACTTCAGGAGAATATATATGCTTCTGCATTAATTCCAAAACATTCAGATATATTCCTTTTGACAACAGGATCTTTCTGAAATTAACTACAAGATTTTTTCATTTTTACTTGTAGAAATGAAGGCACATTTTCATACTTTTTCAATAAGATGTGGACTATTAAGATAGTCTAAATTGATAGGAAGGCATATACAAGAATGTATATAATGTATAGTACATGGACAACTTAAAGACAATACTTATTTCTTTAAAACATATACCATTTTCAATTTTTTCATATTTATTAACCTTTTGTTGAGGTTTTGCTCTTAAAAATTTTATTTACAGAGTAGACTAGTTTCAATGTAATCGCCATATCCCTGTCTAGGTGAAAAGAGTGTTTCTGCAGAAAAAATATGTTTGAAGATGCTCTCCAAAATAAAAATGAAAGTTAAATTTGATTCCAATACTTAAAACAAGTTCACAAGGCCGGGCGCGGTGGCTCACGCCTGTAATCCTAGCACTCTGGGAGGCCGAGGTCAGGAGTTCGAAACCAGCCTGAGCAAGAGCGAGACCCCGTCTCTACTGAAAATAGAAAGAAATTAATAGGACAACTAAAAAATATATATATATAAAAAAAAATTAGCCGGGCATGGTGGTGCATGCCTGTAGTCCCAGCTACTCGGGAGGCTGAGGCAGAAGGATTGCTTGAGCCCAGGAGTTTGAGGTTGCTGTGAGCTAGGCTGACGCCAGGGCACTCACTCTAGCCCGGGCAAAAGAGTGAGACTCTGTCTCAAAAAAAAAAAACAAGTTCACAGATAACTGCACTTATATAGAGCTAAGACTAGCCAGATACGCTAGACACTAGTGAGCTAGGAATAAGTTACAGGCCTGTGGAGATATTGACAATCCCCTCAGCTTTTGGAGGGGGTGGGGCTGGGGTAGGAGATGAAAGGGCTGGAACCACGCTGGGTTGCTTTCAGCCTTGAGCTGCTTTGTCTACTTACCCCAGTGGGCTGTGCAAACATTATCATCTCTGTATATGCCATCATAGGCACAGGGACAGAAAGTACTGATACAGAGCATAGGGAATTACATTTATTTTCTCGAAGTAATGCCAAAGCTTAGGAAACACATGCGTGTGCTTACAACTGATTTTACATTACATGTAGAAAAGTAACTGTATTCCAGCAATGATGATTACAGAATAATTTTTCTCTTCATAATAAATTTCCCTCACAAATACAAATCCATTGTCTTGAAGTTTCCATATAAATATCAATTGTCTTGAAGTCTCTATATAAACATCAATTCCAACATTATATGGTATAATACTACACTTTGAAAGTGGCAAAAAAAGGAAACTTAGAAAGTTTTAATTTAAGTGCTGCTTTTAAAAATAAGTTGTCTATCTCGAGAAGAAAAGATAGGACAAAACACAGGGATCGGTAGAAGTGATACATTCTAAAATACTGCCAAAACCTGAAAAACTCACCTTTTAAAGCCATTCAGAATATCACACATTAAGATGCGATCAAGAGTTGGTTACTTGGTTTGATCACATCAGAAGTTGTAGTAACCTTCCCCAAAGTGGCTAGCCTCTAACCAAGGAGATACTTTAAAACAGTGGCCCCCAACCTTTTTGGCACCAGGGACCGGTTTCACCAGTTTCATGGAAGACAATTTTTCCACTAGGGAGACAGGAGGATGGTTTGGGATGATTCAAGCACCTTACATTTATTGTGCAGTCCAACCTCTCTGCTAATGAGCTAATGATAATCTGTATTTGCAGCTGTTCCCAGCACTAGCATCACCACCTCAGCTCCACCTCACATCATCCCACTGCTGATCTGACAGGAGGCGGAGCTCAGGCAGTGACAGGAGTGATGGGGAGCGGCTATAAATACAAGCTTTGCTTGCTCATGGGCCGTTCACCTCCTGCTGTGCAGCCTGGTTCCTAACAGGCCACGGACCAGGGTTTGGGGACAGGAGTTGGGGACCGCAAGCTTAAGCAACAGGAATTTATTTCTCACAGTTCTGGAGGCTAACAGGCTAACAAATACACTGTGGGTTGGGGACCTCAGCTTTAAAAGACAAAAGTGACTCTAGACCGGTGCTGGAAGCGCCGTTGGAGCCGGCTTGGCTTGTGAGCCCCGCTGAGGAGCGGGAGGTTGGGCCGCAGTTACCGCCCCGTCAGCTCCCGGTCCTTGCCCCTCAGCGGCATGGCGTGCGGGACGACTCTGGAGCGGCCCATGGAGTTCGAGGCGGCGCTGCTGAGCCCGGGTTCCCCGAAGCGGCGGCGCTGCGCCCCTCTCCCCGGCCCCACTCCGGGCCTCAGGCCCCCGGACGCCGAGCCGCCACCACCGGCGCTTCAGACACAGACCCCACAGCCGCCTCTGCAGCAGCCCGCCCCGCCCGGCAGCGAGCGGCGCCTTCCAACTCCGGAGCAAATTTTTCAGAACATTAAACAAGAATATAGTCGTTATCAGAGGTGGAGACATTTAGAAGTGGTTCTTAGTCAAAGTGAAGCTTGTGCTTCCGAAAGTCAACCTCACTCCTCAGCACTCACAGCACCTAGTTCTCCAGGTACCTCCTCGATGAAGAAGGACCAGCCCACCTTTACCCTCCGACAAGTTGGAATAATATGTGAGCGTCTCTTAAAAGACTATGATGATAAGATTCGGGAGGAGTATGAGCAAATCCTCAATACCAAACTAGCAGAACAATATGAACCTTTTGTGAAATTCACACATGATCAGATTATGCGACGGTATGGGACAAGGCCAAGAAGCTACGTGTCCTGAAGCTTTTGTTGCATTAACTGGGTACCAGGTTTGACCTCAAGAGATGGCTGCTGTACACTTTTTGCAACTGGTTTGATATCACATTTCAGCTCCAACTTTTCATCCTGAGAACACTTAAACGTTTCTGCAGGTCCATTTTATACAACTTGAAAGACCTTAAAACTTTCTGGTTGCCACAAGCGTATCTTTCTTTTCTGCTCATCCAATAAACAGCTGTGCCCTACTGTGATAGATTTTCTAAACAAAAATACCTGGAGCAGCAGTTTAGCAAAATATGCCTTTAGTGGCACTCAATAAATGGAGTTTCCCCAAGCACAGTTCTGTAAGAAGTGTGTGTGAGAGTGTGTGTATACGTGTGTATGTGTATTTTAAGTTATTATTTGTATCGTGCAAATTTTTTTTTGGTCTTGGGGATTCTGGCTGTGAATTTGATGCACGACAATTATGGTTTAAAACATTTGCTTGGTCTACAGAAGATCATTAATGTTTTGTGACCCTTTAAGTTGTAACAGTGGATTGTTTTATGTGTAGGTATTACTGTTAAATACAGGGACTGTTTCCAGGCACAGAATATGAATCATAAGTTAGGATGGACATTAGATGTGATTATGATGATACAGCGAAGGTCTGCGGTCCTAGATCTACAAATGTGCAGCGAGGTTAGAACAAACTGGAGACGGGCCATTGACACATGGACTCTGCCTAGCTGTGTTAGAAATATACTTTGACTCCAAGCCTTAAAATACCCACATGGAGTCAGTGCTCACCTCATTTACACAATCAAAGAGCTCCCTGGACACTGAACCTCTAAAGAGAGAAGGTCTCCCCTACAGCAGGAGCATCAGGGTTTGCTCGTGAGCATAACATAGGTGAGCATGGGCCTGGGGCTGGGCCAGGCCCTGGCAGCACTGCTACTTGGGAGGAGCCACTTCACCTTTGTATCAGTTATTAAAAATAGAATTTGGATCCTTTGGTCAGGTTCCCCCAAATTCTTTTGAGGTGTCCATGTTCAACTGCTTGAGCTTTGTTTTGGCAACCCCCTGCCCGAAGTTGCTTATAGGCTGTTCTTCACCTTTTTTCCAAGGCTGAGGAACAGAAAGTAGCCTCTGTTTTGAGGAGGTGGAAGTTAAGTATACATTTATTTTTTACTGTGACTTGTTCAGGACCACATTTTACAAAATGCCTTGTTTCCTTTATTATTGTTTCTGGAAAGGAAAGTTCTATTAATATTGTTTTAGTTTGAATATAGAATAGTTTTTTTAATTAGGGCTTATTTTGAAAAATTCTGAGTGTAATTCAAATGTATGCGAGTACCTTCCAAAGCAAGGTAATATTCAGAGACAGTTGTTCTGATCAGATGGCTTAGAGAAATTTCTGGAATATTCTCATTCGAAGATTCCTTATTAATCAATGTCTTTGACTTAAATCTAACCAAAAACTGCAACATTATTCTTTGTACATTTTCATTATATAGTGTTAACAAGCTTAGTTGCAAACAAATAAAATACTTAAGCTATTTGTTTAAAAAAAAAAAAAAAAGTGACTCTAGACCAGTTATTCTCAAACTTTAATTTGCATCAGAATCATCTGGAGGGCTTTTTAAAAAACAAAGGTTGCTGGGTCCAAGCTCCAGAGTTTATGATTCAGTAGATCTGTATGGGAGCCCAGAACTCACATTTTTAACAAGTTCCTAGGCAATGCTGCTAGTCCAGGAACCACACTGTGCTACACAGTAACCCAATGTGTAACTTGAAAATTGCGGAACACTAGCCCTAGGAGAAATTTCATCATGAAGTCACTTTAGAGTTTACAGAACGTTCCACACGTTACCTCATTTACCAGCTGTCTACATAATGCTCTTGACCTCATCCACTCCATTTTAACAGGAAATTATCTCCTTTAAAAGGCAAATAACAGACACCTTCTTTCCTAGCTGCCTATTCACAATTTCATTTCCTCTGATTCCTAACATATCATATTCTCCTTTCTTGCTTCATTTGTTTTCTTAATTACTTCACATATCTTATATGTTAGTGAGTCTTACTACTATCTATCGTCCCCACTTGAGTTTAAACTCCATGAGCCTGCGATTTCTATTTAAATGATGTATACCAAGTGCCTAGGGGATTATCTAGCACATAGTGGGAGCTCAATAAATATTGATCAATTAATTAATTAATTAACTGGGGAAAATGTCACACAAGATGTTTGAGTCTTGACCTTGGAATCTCCATGGTTCCAAGAACCCAGCTCTTCTGGCTGCCAACCCAGTCATTTTTCTGAAAAAAAAAAAAAAAACCAAAACACCCATATCCAGTGCCCAGCCCTGCACACCCAGCCCTGTCTTTCAGTGAGAAGTTGCCCAAGGAAGTTGGTGAACAAGTTGCTCCAGTTCTTAACACTTTACTAAGGCAGCACTCCAAGGAGACAATACAAAGGGATCTGAGGACAGTTTACCCAGCAGGTGGCTAAGAAGTAAGAAACTAGCAAGAGCAGAGAACTGATTCTGAACAAAGACATGAAGGCTCACTCTGAATGCAACCAATCCTCAGACACTGTAATAAGAATCAGTCCAAATCTCACAAAATCATCGTTGCTCGATTTGCATATCAAAGATTCCAGGTGGTTGGGAATTACGGCACCGATGCAATGCTGCACGTACATAGCAGAAGTTTGCCTCCTCTCTAAGGTGCCCCAACAACGTCCAGGCCTCGTTTTCAGGAGCAAAATCCCTACCCAGGCCTCTCTAACTGCACAGTAGAATATGGGAGATTGGAGAATAGCAATTCCCAGTACAATCACTCCTACGCTGCTGATTCATTGTCCCCAGGAGCAACCCCCGTCTCTCAGTGCCGTTGCCACTCCAAGCCTTTTATTAAAATGCCATCAGAGAGATGGGATGAGAAAGAAGGAAGAAGAGAGGATTTTCCTCTTGATTTGACTTAAATAATAGCATGAAGAAATATGTATGAGATGGTGTCTTTATTTCTTTCATTCTATCCAAGTTCTCTACTAAAATCTGGGGTTTACATTAGTCTCTGTCTCAGACTTTCAGTGTTTTTCCCTATTTTTCACCCTCTAAAAATATCCTGCAAGAGCGGTCAAGTCCAATGCCTTTATGATGAGTTTTCACCCAAGGTTTTCTGGCAGGATTTCCTGTTTATGGGGGCAAGAATCTGAGCAGCCTAAACCACAATCTTAAACCTCACAAGTTCTTCCAAAGGTATATGAGCTGTTTTTCTCCTCTTAATTATGTAAAGCTATAATACTTATAAGAATAACATGTAAGGGACCACGTTTTTTAAAAAAATTGTAGTATAAAAATTTTATAATGGACAATTTTACCAGATTTTAAAATGGTGAATATCTCTCCACTCAGTCATATTTCTATAAAATTTTCCTAAGAAAATAACAGGAATATTGTATAAGGAAAAACAGGGAATGGGAAGAGTGACCATTTGGTATTTATTACGGGTTCCAAAAAAATCCTACTGCACACAAGCTAAAAGCCTATCAATAAGAAATTGGTTCATAAGATAAGGCATACATTGGAAAACTACACAGGTATTAAAAATGATAATGAAAGAATACACATGTGTTAACATGAAAAAGAAAAAATATAAAATTTGGTTATAAAAGAGTTTAATATGATTCTATGTCTGCAAAAAGTATAAAAAAGATTGTATATGTCATGTGTGAGTACATAGAGAAGTCCAAAAGGAACATACATAAAAATGTTTATTTTATTCTTCATTCATTTACCTATGTATCAATATATCCATATGTGAAATACATATCTCTACATATTAATATTTGAATTTTTTACAATATATAGCTTTCATAATTTTAAAGAAATACAAAATGTGTTTCCATTTATTTAAAAATACGGTATACCACTTACCATTTTGTTCTAAGAGAGTCGACAATGCATTTGCAGACGCCTGGAAGACTTCTTTTGATGAAGAATGCATCAGCATGGAGAGCATCACTTCCCTATGAGCTGGGAACCTTTCAAAAATCCAACCACAATATTAATAGTAATGTTTTTAATAATTAGCTCAAGTTCTCACTTACCATTACCTAATATCTCTAACAAGAAATAAAGGCATATCAATAAACAATATTTTATGTCACCTTCACTTATAAGAGTGAATTATGCTTAGTTTTATGTTTAAAAGTTAGATTCAAATACATTAAACATTAATAAATTAGTATTTCTCTGTTTTTTCAAAAGCTGATAAGCAGTAGAGAGAAAAGAGGCTCAGCAGACATATGAAAACGTACTGAAGAAAAAGGTAAAGTAAGGAAAAAAGATAATGAAAACAAGAAAGGACAAATAAAAAATTGTGAAGAAGCAGAGTATGTTTTAAAGATGTATAACATAAATATATTTTCTTTCTTATAATAATATATTTATCTTAAAGGTCTCCTATGGATACTGAGGAATAAGTGTCCTGTGAACTAAAATGTATAAAGTGCAACATGAATCTCCCTTCTTCTAATACCTTTTAAAATATTGCTCAATATGGGATTATTAGGATGCTAGTTTAACACAGTTTTCCAAAAATGACTGCTTCTTTTCAAAATTAAAATGTTTAATTAAATAGCATCTGTGTCACTAATTCCCTTCTTATCAGAAGTGGATCATTATACAAAGAGGCTGTCAGGATTTCAGACATAGAAATGTTACTATTTGAGTTTCCCAAATAAGTCATTCAAATTTTAAAACCCAGAGGATACCCAGAGCAAACAGCACAAGTATAAGCAGTTGCCACAGAACACAGAGGCTCCTGGATATGAAACAAATCTGATATACACAAAACTCCTGTTACAGTTCGTATCTGTGGGACAGAGTGCCGGGTCTTACAATATTTGAGTGGCAGTCCTATTGAAAGCCTGCTCAGGAGATAACAGCGTCAAATAACCCTCTCGAGAGAAGACAGGTCAACACTATCACATCACATGGGAACTTACCATAGGAGGCTTTCTGACCAAATCTA